CCTACATGGTTGGTGTGAAGGTTTTGTTGAAGGTTTCGCCCATGAATGGTATTATGAGGTTTGGGAAGAAAGGTAAATTGAGTCCTCGATTCATTGGGCCTTTTGAGGTGCTTCGGAGGATTGGGGAGGTGGCTTATGAGCTTGCTTTGCCACCCAACTTGTCGAGTGTGCCCAGTATTTCATGTTTTTATGCTCCGGAAGTATATTGGGTATTCGTCTCATGTTCTGGATTTCAGCATGGTTCAGTTGGATGGTGACTTGACTTATGATGTGGAGCCAGTAGCTATTTTGGGTCGTCAAGTTCAAAAGTTGAGATCAAAGAATATAGCCTAAGTGAAAGTGCAGTGGAGAGGTCGGCCCGTAGAGGAGGCTACCTAGGAGACCGAGCGGGAGATGCGGAGCAGATATCCTCACCTGTTTGAGGCTTCAGGTATGTTTCTTGACTCGTTCGAGGACGGACGTTTGTTTAAGAGAGGGAGGATGTGATGACCCGGCCAGTCGTCTCATGAGTTACCGCTCCATTTCCTCCATTTCTGCTTCTTATTTCTTTGTTTATCATTTCTATGTGTGATCAGGTTGGTTGGCTCGGGTTCAGAAAGGATTTGGTAAGGTTTGAGACACTTAGTCTCTTTTGAGGAAGCTTTAGTGGGAAAGGTCAACCGGATGTTGACTTATGTATTATAGGGATCAGATGTGAGTTTTGATGGTTCGGATAGCTTCAGGAGGTGATTTGGGACTTAGGAGCGTGATTGGCATGTATTTTAGAGGTCCGGAGTGGATTTAGGCTTGAATTGGCGAAATTGGATTTTTGGCGTTTTCCGGTTGATAGGTAAAATTTTGATATATGGGTCGGAATGGAATTCCGAGAGTTGCAGTAGTTCTGTTGTGTCATTTGGAATGTGTGCGCAAAATTTCAAGTCATTCGTACGTGGTTTGGTTAGGGTTTTAATCAAAAGTGTAATTTAGAAAATTTTTGAATTCTTAGGCGTGAATCCAATGATAATTTGGTGTTTTTATGTTGTTTTGAGCGTTCCGAAGATTTGAACAAGTTTGAATGATGTTATGGGATATGTTGGAATTTTGTTGAGGTCCCGGGGGCCTCAGGTGAGTTTGGAGTGGTCAATCAGATCATTTCTAGATATTGAGAGTTGCAGAAAACTGTTGTTCAGTGTTGCAGAGAATTGACCTTCGTGTTCGCGAGTAGGCCCTCGCGTTCGCGAAGGGTTAGCAGGCGAGGCTGAGGATTTAGCCTTCGCGTTTGTGAGGAAGGATCCGCGTTCGCGAAGGGCTGGGAGATTATGCATCGCGTTCGCGAGGTTGTACCGCATTCGCGTAGAGGAAGTTGGGCAGCTGGGTTTGAGGTTGATTAGTTCATCGCGTTCGCGAGAAGGGGAGTGCGTTCGTGAAGGTGGAGATGAGTAGCCATCGCGTTCGCATTCGCGTAAGAGGAAAATTGGGTCAAAGTTAGAGTGTTCTTCGCGAACGCGAGGCGTTGACCGCATTCGCGAAGGAGGAATTAAGGCCTGGGCAGAATGTTTAAGTAGTCATCTTGTCTGCGATTTTGGGGTTAACTTCCACCATTTTTGGGCTATTTTTGAGCTTTTTTAAGAGGATTGAAGAATGATTCAAGGGGAAACACTTGGAGGTAAGATTTATGGACTTAATACTTGATTCTAATGTGAATTCTACCTAATTAATCATGGAAATTAAGCCTAATATTGAAGAACTAGTGCTTGTAATTGGAGACCTAGAATTTGGGATTTGAGGGGTCGTTTGTGGTTGGATTTTGATGATTTTGGTATGAATGGACTCGGGGAGTGATAAGGAGTCCATTGATGTAATTTTTATCGGAATCCGAGACGTGGGCCCGGGGGTCGGGTTTGGCCAATTTTGGGATTTGTGTTTTAATTTGATTTCTTTCGAGTGGGCTATATTTCTTTAGCATATTTTGATGGTTTTGCACTAATTTTGGTTAGATTTGGAGCATCCAGAGGCCGATTCGAGGGGCAAAGGCATCGCGAGCTAGAGATTTGGACCGTGTAGAGGTGAGTAATGATTGTAAATGTTGTCCTGAGGGTATGAAACCCCGGATTGCATATCGTTGTGCTGTATTAAAGTGATGCACATGCTAGATGACGAGCTTAGGGTCGTGCACTGTTGGGGATTGTGACTTAGTCCATCCCGAATGATTATTTTATCACGTATTTGACTGAAAACTATTTGCTATCATCATGTTTTGGGCTGAATGTCATACTTGGGCCTCGTGCCAACTATTTGAACCCTTAGTGGATTTTTACTGATATTTTCTCATTGTTTTGACTTTATACTTGAACTCGGTCATGTTATATTCTACTGTTTTCATAACTCAGCCATGTTTACTCTGCTTCAACACTTAAAATGATATTTTGGGCTGAGCATCATGTTTTACTGTTGCCCAGTAGCTTGTGAGATTCTGACTGAGTAAGGCCGAGGGTCTATGTTGTGAGGAAACACTAGTATGATTATGAGGCCCAAGGCCTGAGATTTGTACGCCATGAGGTGACTTGTTGATATGAGGCCGAGAGCCTATGTGATTATGCCACAAGATGGCTTGGTATTGCGCTTGGGCTGTAAGGGGCCCCTCTAGGAGTTTGCACACCCCTAGTGAGCGCGGGTACCCATTGTGATGTGAGATATAGCCCGAGAGGCTGGTACTGTTCCATGTGTTGCCGAGGGGCTGATTCTATAGTATTGTGCCCGAGGGGCGGTTCTTTATGTGTTTATCTTTCCTAATTGCTTGTCATTTACTTGCTTAAATTGTTAAAAGGCATTCCAAAGAAGTTTTAACTGAACTGAAGTGACTTTACTTATTTTTCACTATTTCATTGCTTTTACTGGCTTTTACTGCTTCTTTATAGTCTGTTGTTGTGCCTTTACGTGGTTTCTTATTACTCAGTCTGCAATTATTATTATTACTCACTGAGTTGAAGTACTCACTTTACTCTCTGCACCCCATGTATAGATTCAGGCGCATCAGGTCCTACTTGCAAGGGTTGAGAGTTGTCCAGTAGATTCCGGAGATTCACTAGGTAGCTGCCTGACGATTCGTAGCTCAGTGCTTCTCCCTATATCCTATTTCCTTTTGTTTTAGTTTTATAATAGTTGAGTATACTCTTTCAGACTTGTAGTATTATTATAGATGCTCATGACTGGTGATATCCCGATGTCGGGCTATGTCTTTTTCCGCAAACTATATTATTTACCTTTTTGGGGGGGATTTATTATTATGATTAAGGCTTAGTTCTATTATTTAATTGCTTAAAAATGAATTAGAAGTGTGTCGGCTGGCCTTGTCTTTACGAGAGGCGCCATCACGACCGGATTCGGGTTTAGGGTTGTGACATCGTAATGTTTGGCTTTAGGCCACAGAACTCGTCTGGCCCCCTCTGCTTGTAGTCCGTTCCTTCTTCGGACCCATGCATAGAGGGACTTTAGTGTCCAGAGCTACCATTTTTTTATACTCCTTTGAGATGTTACTGTCTGTTGGTGGTAAAATAGTTAGCTTTACTTCAGTTTACTGGCAAAACAGTTGTTATCAAAATGGGATTTTTCAGCTGGTGGTTATTTGCAGGGATCAATAAGGCCAATCTGAATACTATTTTGGGTCTTTCTTCTTGGTTTATTCATTGCAGTCCCTTTCACTTCTCTTAATCCATACCTAATTTCCATTTAATTGTATTCACTAAAACTTATTAAAGTTGTCTATTTTCTTTATACTAACCTCAGGAAACTGCAATTTATGCATTTTTGGTTTATGGGTCACCAATTTAGAAGTGTCCAATTTTTTAATTATGAATATGAATAAAGCCACCCATTGAATCCATCAGCATCTGTTTCCCTTATGGTACCCACTGATATTTATTAAAGCTGACTCATTAGTGTACTTGGCTATTTTTGGGATCCTTTTGTTTTTATTCTAAGTGACCTCATTGGTCTAGTACATGGTTTCTAAAAGTTCAGTCCCCCAAAGAAATTCTTGCATATATACTTTTATTATTATTTATAATATTGGCCTGAGAAGAGTTTAAAAGGGAAAAATGGTCAGATTCATATAGCTGACCCCAACTAGTTAGCTAATACTCTGTTTGGATTATTGTTCTTCATCGTTTTATAATGTATTGTATTGTATTGTATCGTATTGTACCGCATAGTTTTATGAATACAACATTTGGATAGATTATATTAATTGTTATTGTTAAATAATGGTTTGTTGTTTGGTTTGACTGTATCCTACTGTACTGTAACTGATAAGTTTACTAAAATACACTCAATCATTTAAATATTAAATTTGTCAAAAATTATGTATAAAAATAATTTAAAAGAACAAAACAGAAGAAGGCAAAACACATTAAGAAAGCAGAGTAAATGAGCGAGACAGAATAAGGTAAAACAAAGGAGCACAGCTAATTAGAATTGAGTTAAAAGCAAATTAGGAGAAAAAAATAAAACAAAAGGCTACAAACACCTTTAACATTAGGCTGGGAAAAAATAAAGTAGGTTATAAGTTGGAGATTTGGAGTTAAAATAGAATAAAAAAAGATAAAGGCTAAAATAGAATTGTGGATTAATAAGTTAGGACATAATCGGAAAGAAAAATAGGAAACAATCCTACCACGTCGAATCAGTTGTTTCAAAAAATGGGACTTTTCATTGTTCCGGATCAATGGATTTAACAATACAATACAATACACCTAGTTTTACCGAACGATCAAAACAAACATTATTTTGGAATAACAATACAATACGATACAATGAGGAACAACCATCCAAATATATGTTATGTGTCCAGAAATACATCTGAGGCAGTAGCTCAGATCCCAGTTGTTGTAGCTAGCCTATAAAATTCTAACTTCTATATTGATGTATTTTCAAGCTTTTCCATGGGACTGCCGAGCACTTGTTTGATTCATTTTCTGTTTCATTTAAGTGTGTAAAATTGAGAGTCAATTCAAGAAGCCTAGATGACAGAAGCTAAATCAGGTTGGAGTAGAGAGCAAAATATAGTATTTGAGAATGCCTTGGCAGCTTATCCTGAGGATTTTGTAGATAGGTGGAAGAAAATTGCAGGTGATGTTCCAGTGAAAACCTTAGAAGAGATTAAGAATCATTATGAACTCTTACTCGATGATGTTAGCCGAATCGAGTCTGGTTGTGTGCCTTTGCCTTGCTACAACTCTTTCTCTGATTGTTCTGTGAGCCATATCAGTGATAAAAGAACAGGCAAGAAGAGTGGGATTTCGGCGGCCATAAATGGTGAGCGAAATGATGGAGGTAAATTTACAAGCTCGGATCAGGATCGTCGCAAAGGGATTGCTTGGACGGACGATGAGCACAAGTCAATAATCGTTGGGCTTCAGTCACTTCAGTACAATATTAAGCTAAATGTATGTTTTGATATATATTTGTAAGAAATTCATGAGTACATATCTTCTGTGTCTAAGGTTACTACAAATCATTTATTCAAATCCAATGTAACCTTTGAGTCACCTTTTGGTTTGTGCATATCCACCATGTAAATGACTGAGAAAAGGCTTACTCTTCTGGTGATTAGTAAGTTCCAGAAGATTAGGCTTAATCATTTATTTTTTGAAGATGTATATTGTCATTGCTACTCATATTCTCAATATATGAATTTGAGGTAGATAAGACATGTAAATTGTTAACTCTCTTACCTGAGTGAACGATATCTGCCTTGAACACCTTGATATTTTAGAGGAACTTCACATCACGCGGGCCAAATAGCAAATAGTTTCCAGCATCTATAGCATTTGCAACTGAAAATAGATTTTTCTTTATTCCTGGAACATGAAAGACACTATTGAGGGTGATAGTGTCTTTTTGCTTCTCGTTGATCAGAACGGTGCCTTCCTTCTCAATATTATGGACTGTATTATCTGTTGTAACAATGATATCATGTCTGTTGTATTCACGAAAGGTGGAGAATTTGGATTGATCTCCAATGAGATGGTGCCCACATCCTCAATCCATGATCCAGTCTCTTTCAAAATTTATGGAAGCTATGGCATTTATTGCTCGAGTCTCCGCTGCGAAGCACTTTCCTCAGTCTTCTTTTTCTTCTTCTTCTTCTTCAGCAACTTTCTTGGTTTGAGCCATATTGCTCTATTTGGATCGACAATCTCTTTTTATATGCGCAACTTTGCCACAACGGTAACATTTTAAAAGCTTTTTACCGTTACTGGAAGACTCCCCCTTCTTTCCTAGCGAGCTTGAACCACTTGAGGATTGAAAGTGCATGCTATCTCTTGATTTCCCTTTACGATTTCTCTTATCGGTGACAAGAGCATTTCCTTCCCCCTCTTTGATAGATACACCAGCCATCTATTTGGCTAGTAGCTCTTGTGACGACAGCAAATTCTCAAATTCTTCCAAAGGTGGTTGTTGAACCCATCCTTGAATCGATGTAACAAATGGAATATATTCTGGTTTTAAACCACGAATAATAATTCTTCTTATTCGTGCTTCAGAGATAGCCTCGTCCGGATTCAATAAAAAAAATTTGGAACACATATTTTTAACCTTCAAAAAATACTCGCGATAGAGAGATTGCCTTGAGTGGTGTTAGCTAACTCATTCTCCAAAATCTGGAGTCGGGCTTCATCCTCTTGTTGATCAACCGATTGAAGGTCCTCCATATTTCATGAGTTGATTTACACCTTATAATATTATCAAATAAATTAGGAGAGATAGATCTCTTTACGATAAACTCTTCCTTAGCATTAATCTGCTTCCACTTCTTACACGTATTGCTATTTTCCGGTGCATCAGCAAGAGGACTTGTGTTATTTTCATTGACAACTTCCCACAAATTCTCACCAACAAGGTATGACTCCATACAAGTCTTCCATACCTTGTAGTTGGACTGGTTCAATAACTCAATCACCAGTCCATTAGCACGACCACCCAAATCCATTTAGAGAAACCAGTTGAATCAACCACTAACCCGACCTTGAAACCCAGAAGCCGACTTATGGCTCTGATACCATGTAAAGAATAGCAGAAGAAGAATATTATTCGGAGACTTTTGCTAGCCCAAAATCGTTAACTAATATTGGAGGATTCAACTAAAGAAGAGGAAGCTTGAAAAGAGAAGATAGATTTTAGATAGAAGAACTTGTTTCGGAAATAAGACTTTCTTGATTTTTGGCTTCATTACAAATGAACAAGACACCTCCTATTTATACTTGTCTATGGATGATTCTAGATAAGATTCTAGATAATGTATCAGGAAGATTCTAGCTAACCTTATCTTCTAACAACAATCTAGAATATCTAGATGTGTCTACTAGATAACCTTATCTTCCCACAATATTCTAGAGCATCTAGATGTGTTTACTAGATAAATATCAAGGATCCTACACTAGGATATTCTAGATATATCTTATGTTTTTCCAAAAAGTCAACTTTACTTTATTTTTCTCACAGCTTGTGCTTATTCATGCTTAGTGAATCTTTTCCAGTTGTGCATGAATAATGTTTTTAATGTCGCATAAGTACTCTTTTGTGGCTTTCATTTCCACTTATTTATAAAGTCAGAATAAATCATTGCGCAACGTTTATCTGTACAAGAAAGCAGTTTGTAATGTAGCAGCACTTAATTCAGGTTCACCTTCTTATTCCTCAGTCTTCTAGGCATCCCCTCATGAGATCACAAGTTTATAGGAATTGAAACTATATATAGGAGAGCTCCTAATTGAGAAAGTTGCAAAAAAGTGTTGCTTCTCAACTTGTTTAAGGAGAATTTCATTCTGGAGTACACTTACCAGGCTTATTATCTTATGACATTGTACCCAAGGGTGTAACCTAACTTTTAATAAAGTGGGAGGAGAGAATCATTAGGTCTTAAGTTTAGATCCTATCGGACGTTAAAAACACTTGGTGATGTGATATCCGTCGAGTTTGTTAACATCTTTTTTCTCACCTTGTAAGACTAACATATTACTCCCTTCGTCTTAGTTTATGTCGAAAAATTACACTATATATAAGACAAAATTTATTTTTTACTTTTATGTATTAAGTTTTGAACCTGTTAATACAACTCAAAAGTGTAATTTAATGGTTCAATTCCCATTAACTACAAAATAATTTTTTGAACCCCTTTGTGGAGATCCTGCCTCCGCCACTGGCTCCAATGAGTCCACTAACTATTCCACTTCATCCTTCTCCATTCCCGTTCACCAATCCATCAAACTCCAAAAAACCACCATTTTCACAATTTCACTTTACCCTGTCACACCTCCTTTTTCCGCGCCCGGAGGCGCAGGGGAGTNATAAAGTAAAAATAGTTAAAATGGCTATACTAGTCCTAAATTAGATATTTAAGCTTAAGAACGCCAAAATTCCCGGGAAGGGTCAAAAATCACGTGCTTACATACCCAACAGGCCAAGAATCTTGATTCCTCAAGCTACATTTTCTGCTTCACCAAATTCTCTTCTTTGGGCCATTTCAGAGATAGTCGCTGTTAACGGCAGAATCATTAAGTGGGGTCCACCTGGAACAATCTGTACTGACACCAGAACACTTGAACCAGGATAATGGTTGCTCCCCCTTGTTGGTCAAAACATTGATGCCCACGATTTCATTACCCCTGAATTAGCCACCAAAGGCTGTGTTGGAGTAATTGGAAACTGGGTTTGTGAGGGTTGGAACAATGCAGAGGCGGAGCCAGAATTTTAAGTTTATGGGTTCGAGATTCCAATTGTTATAAGCAGCTAAGTTCTAAATTAATGATTTATATATATTTAATGAATTTTTTAAGATAAATACACAGTTCAAACTAAAGTTAATGAACTCTAGCTCCGGAATAGGAGAAGACAAAAAAGTGGCTAGCATCTTTAACAAACCGAGAGAAGAGTCGCGCCTCCAACTGACTTCTATTACAGAGACACATGCAAAAAAGTGGTTGAGCATTTGTGAAAAAACATGGAATAAAAGGATGGCAAATTACTTTAACGGTCCTTTGGTGGGACTTTCAACTGCAGCAGCCGTGTTTCTCCTCGCGCTCACACTTATGCAAAGGCAAAATACCTTAATTTAAACAATTCCTAACTTGCTCAGATTATCATTATGCTCGGCCTTAAGTAGCCCTCTCAACTTGGTCTTTTGAGGGCCACTACCCCATAGACGGTGATATGGCAAAAAGTGTAGGTGTACTTGTTTGCCACGTGTGTTTTTCTGTTTATGTGGTATTTTTTTAAAAAATAAAATATTTTTTACCTTTTTAAGAATATTACTTTTTTAGATAATTTTTTTCGAATAAAATTTGTAATAAAACTTTGATATAACTACATTATTTAGGCTAAATATTTTTATTTGGCCAAAAATAATAAAGTTTTAGTTAATCTTTCTTTGAACTTGACCTGCAAAATAAAGATTTATACAATTGAATCAAGACATCTAAAAAATTATAAAAAATACATAGTTAAAATAAATAGTCATTGCATCAAAAAAAGAAATAAAAAGAGTGTACAATTGCACTTGTAATTTCTTGCAATAGTACACTCTTTTTATTTCTTCTTTTGATGCGATGACTATTTATTTCAATTGTGTATTTTTACTTTTTTAGGTAAAATCTGTATTAAAAAAAAATTAAGAGCACCGTAATTTAGAGCTATATAAAAAATTATACCCAAAATAATTAATTTCAAACTATGTATTTTTTATAACTTTTTAGATGCCTTAACTATTTATATTTCAATTGTATAAATCTTTATTTATAAATCTGGGGGTAATGACTCTCAAAAAGGCAAGTTAAAGGGGGTAATTAAGACCAGACATAATTCGAGGAGGATACTAATAATCTAAGCCAAATTTAGGGATGGTTTAAGGTATTTTGCCTTATGCAAACAGTTCTAACTTTCACAAGTACTCTCTAAGTACATGCTACTCCTATGATTTATTGATTTTGTAATGGCTTTGGACTTGTGTTTCCTCACTGTTCCATTCTTGTAGTTGTGCGTGCCGAGTCGAAATATATTCTATCATAAATCACTTTTTTTACTCTGTCCAAAATTTGTTAGTGGATTTTTAATTCAGCAGTATTCAAGGCAAAGCTATTGGGTTCGGATGAATCCATAATTTACCTTCTATGTACGCCCCTGGATGTTTTACCTACCCCTTCTGGTACCACGTGCAACTATGTGCAAAGTGCAATGCACTAAGATACTCCTTCCGTTTCAATTTATGTGAACTCATTTGACTGGAAATAAAGTTTAAGAAAAGATAAAAGACTTTTGAACTTGTGGTATAAAATGAGGCATATATATTTGGTGTGACTATAAATTATTGCATAGAGATAAATCGTTTCTAAATGAGTAAAGGGGTCTTTTTTTAGCACAGACTAAAAAGGAAATAGATTCACATAAATTGAAACGTAGGAGTATATATCTTGGACTTTCAACTTTGTGGTTCAGCCTCAGCAATTCTTGCAGCTACAAAGGAGTTGGTGAACACTTGTTGTTAATCCTTTTTTTGGGGTGTAATTAATCTTTTCCTTTATTTTCATCAGCAATATCTCAATCCTGGCTGTAAAAATTAGAATTATAACATAGCTACGTGTAATAAAAAAAATTAAAAAAGATATAAAATATGAAAAATTATGTAGAAACTCGTGAAGTAAAGGTTGGAAAATGAGAAATAAGGAAATAAAAATAAATAATGTAAAAAATAATATTTGAAAAAAAAAAGAATTTTAAAAGTTAAAAGAAATAAATTAAAAAGAAAAAAGAATAGAAATAAAAAGTAAATTAAAAAAAAAGATTAAAAAAATATCTTAGCTCCCCTTGAGAATTACATAGTGTAATTACACACTCTCAATTACACCCAAATGTAATTACAGGTGACTTTCCAAACAAGCCCTAATAGATGATCCTATACGCTTTTGTTTAAAGAACATGCAATTTCCTTTTTATGGTAGTTTTGACTCGTAAAACTAGCTACTTTTAGAAGCTCCATTTTAAGGAAATAACAATGTCATAGTTATTACTGAATATTATATAGTAGTGATAAGCATAACAGTTGTATCGAGGGACTAGATAGACTTGACTGAAACTGTCCATTCAAAATAATGAGAAACAAACAAGACTTGTATACAGTGGCGGAAGGAGGATCTCAGCTAAGCAGTTCAAAAAGAAAAAAGTTAGAAAGGATTATAACTAATGGGAATTGAACCTATGATCTATTGATCACTAAGCTATATTTTTGGGTTGTGTCAAGGGGATTCAAAACTTAATATATAGAGATAAGAAACAGATTTTGGCTTATATATACAGTATAATTTTTCGACGAAGGGGGTTCGGCTAAATCCGCCCCTGCTTGTATAATAGTTTATCTAGTTGGAATGACATGTCTTTTATGTCAAAGCAAGAAAAAAAACGGAATAACATGTCTTTCAACAATATCAAAGAGTACTCTATTTGTCCATGATCCTAGCTCCCAGCATCATCATACCTCGATCTCTCCTGCAGAAAGGAGGAAAATTATAAATAAAACAAATAGAGAGAAAGTTGTGCGGAAAGAACCACTAAATCATTCACAATATTCCATCTACTATAGTGCAATATAAGTCAACATACATTAAAAGAAGGAATAATCATGTAGGCATATTATTGATGCAAAGGACACTCAAACCTTTATATATTGACTCTGAAGAATGAAATAATCATGGAAGAAACAACAACATCCCACTAGTGGGGTTTGGGGATGGTAAGTAGTATGTACGCAAACCTTATCACTACCCGAGGGAGTAGAGAGGTTGTTTCCGATATACCCTATGCTCAAGAAGACGAAAAGAGACAATATATCAGTAAAACAATAGATCATGGAAGAAACAACCTTAATTATAATGGTACAGTCTCAAAGGTATATCTAATAACAATGGCAGTAGCTGGACATGAATACTGAAAGTCATTTTAATAGGAAAAAAATAAATTCTACTAACCTTTCAACTGCATGATACAGTCTCAAAGGTATATCTAATACAGTGGCAGTAGCTGGACATGAATATATATTGAAAATCATTTTAATATGAAAAAATAAATTCTACTAACCTTTCAACTGGATGTGACCATCTATTCAGTATCAGGGGGCGATAACGTGAGCTTGAATTTGATGCTTTTCATGAGTTTCCTGCGCTGTATTTCTCTCGCTGACTCAGCTGCTTTTCTTGTGTTCTCCAGCTTCATCTCTTCAAAGCTAGGAACATCAGCCAGCTCATATGGCACTGCTTGAAGATTTTCACAAAATTTAAGAACAAGGTGCCTAAGTTTTGGGAAATGATATTCTGAAGCCTCCCAATTTTTCAAGTCTGCCCCTTCAATCCATAAGACCTGGAGGTTATTAAAAGCACCTCGCTCCACTTCCCAGGACATCCCCTTGAATGCATTTTCTTTCAATTTCAGGACCTCGAGGCATTCCAACTGCCCCAATATATCTGCCTCGCTCCAATCAAACATCGTCTTAGACAGAGTTAACTTCTTCAGTGTGCGTCGAATCTTGAAGAATGATGGAGGAAGATGAGGTTTACTCGAGTAATTAGAACCATCATTGTATATCATCAAACGTTCCAGGCACTTTAGCTCTCCAAGATTTCGCCATCCACCCTTGCTAGTTTCAAGGAAAGCCTCCATATTCCCTCGGATACCCAACTTTTTTAGATTACAAGCTTTTGCAAAGACATCTTTCGTGCAACTTTTCGGTGTAATCAGAGAAAGAGTTTGTAGGCAAGAAGGTTCACCTGTTGGGATAGGAGGTGGCGGCAATTCTGCAGGGACGTTGGTGTGAAGATGCCTCAACCGCAACAACTTCCATATGTTTGCTTTTATCTCAAGGGTGGAATTTGATGTATTAAGTATAAGAGTTTGTAAATATAAGAATTTACCCAAGGGTTCAGGAATAACCTTGAAGTCACCTGAGATAGCAATATATCTCAATAGAAATAATTGGAGAAACTCTTTGGAGAAAACAAGATGGCCGGAGTCAAAGTCCAAAACCCTAAGCAATGGAAAGGCTTTGGTGATGTGTTTGATGTCACTTAGCGACCTCCTCACTTGACTTTGTTTTGAGGTAAAACAGTAAAAAGATCTAAGATGCTCTCCAAATGGCTTTCTGGAGAGAAAATCATTCAGAACAGAGGATTGAACACACAATTGACGAGTAGTCTCTGGTATTCTACTGCCAATATCTTCAGATACTTGTTGAAAAGACCATCTTTTGGCCTCCTCTTTGCAAAAGTCGTGCCAAAGGTCATGAACACGACATGTTTTTATATGACCACAAGAGCTTTTTTGGATCACCATTACTAGATTCCTATCGACGAGGCTTTTCAAACATTTTTCTGCTCTCTCCTCAAGCGATGACGATGGGTTGTACTCTATTAAGCACTCAGCAATCCATAAGCGGATCAATTTCCAAGCTGGGATATCAAATCCTCGCGGAAAGATGTTGAAATACAAGAAGCGCAACTTCATTTCCTCAGTCAAATGATCGTAAATCAGGTTTAGAAATTTATACATGGTTGTACTGTCATCGTCATTCATCTCAGGTCCCACCATATTTTCCTCGAATATTTGCCATTCTATTTGGCTCCTCCAACCTCTTAATGCTCCTGCAATTATCACTACCAAAATCGGTATTCCTCTACATTTTTTTGCCATTCTTTTTCCAAGTTCGATTAACTCATCAGGACAACTTCTCCGGCCGAAAACTTTCATTTTTAACAACTCAAAACTTTCGTCTGGAGTCAGAAATTTCAGATAATGAGGATGTGAATTGGCATATTGAGAAATAGCCACATGGCGAGTGGTCATCAGGATACGGTGACCTTTCCCATCTTTTCCAAAAATCCTTCTGAAGAAATCAACAACATCAGTGGTCCGCACATCGTCCAAGACAATGAGACGTCTACTTTCTTCTTCCAAAATACCAAGTATTATCTTCTCTAATTCATTTTCATTCATATCTTCATATTGTTCCCAGCGTCTTGTGGTGATCAGCCCTTTGAGAAAAGAAAGACAAATATCCTTCACCTTACCTAAATGGCCGACGGTAATCCAATAGCAGCTGAAAAATTCATGCGACATTCGAGTATCATGATATATTTTTCTTGCCAGTGTGCTTTTGCCCTGTCCAACCACACCCACAATAGGAACAATTACATCATGATAGCCGCCTGATCCTCCAAGAAGTCGTTTGATCACTACTTCTGCTTCCTCATCAAAGCCGATCACTTCGTCATCCTCTGACTCAGGACCCTTTAAAGATTAAACAGATAGGATACGATTAAAATCAGAGGGAATGATCTTCTTTATTAATTTTGAATTAGAACTAAGAAGAGAAGTCCCAAGCAGGCCTTTGGACTATGTTTGAGTTGCAAATTGAACTCCAGCTTGTTTGGATGGTTATTACCTATTGTATTGTATTCTATTACTTTAGATACAATATTTGTTTTGATTGTTACTTAATTTTATTGTATCGTATCGTTAAATCCGTTGTTACGCAACAATGAAAAATGTCACTTTATGGAACAATCGATTTGGTGTGGTGGCTTCATTGTCTTGCTTTTTTCTCTCATCTTGCTCTTCCTTATTATTAAATAATCATATTTTATCCTTTACCCCACTTTTTTATACAATAATTCTACTATGTGTCCTATTTTCTCTTAGTAATGTTGCAAGTTTATTTTTCATATTGTTGGTGCCGTGACATCATGACATCATGAAACGAGGACAAACAATACAATCTATCCAAACGTTGTATTCATTAAACAATATAGTATAATACGATACATTATGAAACAACACGTAACAACAATTCTCTTTTTATTTATCATCTTACAAGTTATGGAAAATTTATTTTAATAATTTGAATGAATTAAGTACATGCATCCAATGATAAGAATATACTAATAAGATAGAATAGTTAAGAACCTATATCACTAGCACATAAAGGAGCAGGTTTTCTCTTTTTACTAGTCCTTACAATATAGTTAACTTACATACAGATCGAAAGAAGGGAGTTTTGTGTAACATTTAAAATCACATCGAAGTTATGTGTCACAAGCCGAAACATTAAAGAACGTTTATTTATTCACTAAAGCCTCTCCATAACCATTGTTTGTTCTGATATCTTATTGTAAAATGAGTGGGAGAATATTGGCATATTTTAGTATTTTAATATTAAATTATATTATGTAACGATTTGGGCTGTCATTTTGAGAATTAGCGTCCCATTCGGTGGTTTAAGATCTCGAGCAACTTCGTGTTATGTATTATGACTTGCGTGTGAGGCCGGGTTCGATTTTCGTATGATTCGGGATTAAGTTGGAAGAAGGATTCTTGTTTTAGAAGCTTAAGCGGTAAAAATTGACTGAAGTTTTGACTTTTGTGTAGACGACTCCGAAATGGTATTTTGATGATTCTAATAGCTTCGCGTGGTGATTTTGGACTTAGGCATGTGTCCGTATTTTGATTTGGAGGTCCGTAGGATGATTTGATGCAATTTGGCGAAAATTAAAAAGTTGAAGGTTTGGATGGTTGAGAAGTTTGACCAAGAGTTGACTTTATTAATATCGGGTTCGGATTTCGATTTCGGAGTAGTTGTAGCTCTATTGTGTTATTTAAAAGTTGCATGCAAAATTTGACATCATTCCGGGTTGATTTGATATGTTTCGGCACGAATTGTAGAATTTGAAAGTGCATAAGTTCATCAAGTTCGATTTGTGGTGCAATTCATGGCTTTGATGTTGTTTGATGTAATTTGAGACCTCGAGCAGATCCACGTTATGTTGTAGAGCTTGTTGGTATGTTTCGACGGTGTCCCGGGGGCCTCGGGTGTGTTCTGGATGAGCTACAAGCCATTTACTCCTATTTTGGAATGTTGATTGGTGGTGTCTGATGTTCTTCTCTCCGATTGCGAAGGCTGTTTGGTGACTGGTCCTTTTTCCTTCTTCGTGTTTGCATGGTTTTGTCCGCGATCGCGTCCGTGTGAGTGTTACTTCTTCGCATTTGGTCTTTTTGTGTTCGCGCATTTGGTCTTTTGTGGTCTTTTCCACGATTGCGATGCATGTTACCTGGGCACAAATATAAAGTACTTTATTTCGAGGGTTTGGCTATTTTTATCATATCTTGAGTTGTAGACCTCGGAGTTGAGCGATTTTTATGGGGTTCTTCACGTGTTGGATTGGGGTAAGTGTTCTTTACCTGGATTTGGTTTTATTTCATGATTATCATTAAATTAGTGGTTTGAGTTGGGAAAAAATAAAAAATTTGTGAAAACTTTCAAAATGTAAAATGATGATTTAAAGGACGAATTGATGTTGGAATTGGATAAATTTGGTATGGTTAGACTCGTATCGGAATGGATATTCGAATTTTATAAATTTTATTAGGTTCCGAGGTATGGGCCCAGAGTTAACTTTTTGGGTTGACCTTTTAGTTTTTATTAAAGATTGAAGTTTTATTATTCGGATTTGTTTCCTATGGTTTTTATTCATGAGATGGAGTTATTTTGGCTAGATTTGAGTCGTCCGGAGGTTATTTCACACAAAAAAATCATTTTAGAATATTGGTCTAGCTTCTTTGAGGTAAGTACCTTGCCTAACTTTGTAGGAGGGAGGGGGAACTACCCGTTAGGATTTGAGTCATTTGTGCTAGTTGTGTCATGTGAAGGTCGTGTACGCGAGGTGACGAGTATGTACTCGGGTTTATTTATGGAAATTTGATCGATTAGGGCTCGTAGGTTCTTATGTTCATTAAAAATGAAGTTGTCTTATCATGTTAAATCCTCCATTTACTAAATTCTCCCATACGTGTCTTATTTGGAACTGATTGTCTCATGTTCTATCCTTGTTGCCAATAAACTCTTATGTGCCTTAATTGCAGTTGTCACCTCTTTTATTGCCATGTTTTCTTTTCCGTAATTGCTTAACCTTAAATGATGTTATTGTTTTCTTTCCCGTAGTTTCTTAACCTTAATTGAGGCTTTGTTACCCCTTTCATTGTTGACTTATCCTTATTTGAAATCTTTGATTTATGTTATTTCTCTTATGGTCGAGTTGTACTTATGTGGAATCATTGTTATACATTATCTCTCCCCTTGTTGAGCTATTCTTGTTGAAACTATTATTACCTGTTGTGTCTTTCATTGTGAGTTCGTTCTTCCGTTTTTTGTGTTCTGTAGTTCTTATGTTGATTTATTTATCGTACTCTCATGTTATTATTGTTGTTATTGTTGTACTAAGTGATGTTGTGCTGATGGCTATGCGTAGTTGTGGTATTGGAATTATTATAAGGAAAAGTTGTGGCATATGGGCACATGTGGTGAAAGATACTATATGGTGTTGTTTTGTTATTGGCACACATGGTATTGTTTAGAGGCTTGTCGGGGTGTTCGCACGTGAGTTGTCAGTGTAATTGTTATTATTGATATTTGCACATGCGGCGTGACAAGATGGGCTATATATGTGGGTTTGCCCATATGGGGAGACAAGGTGAGAATATTATTATGTGCGTGCGGCGAGACAAGGCAAGCATTTACTTTATTGTTGCGTACGTGGCGAGACAAGATGGTCTATGTCGGGGAATGATTTGTGATGACTTTTGATGGCCTAAGAACATTGTTATTGACGATATTTGTGCAGTAGTGTGCACACCTTGTGTGAGTTATACATTGCATATTTTGTGGTGACTGTTCCCTAAATGCCATTCATTGTATCTACTCTTACTCGTTGACTTGAGTTATGATAGAAGACTTGCACAAGCATACGCATAATTAATCACTCATATCGGTTTAAGGAGATGAATCCTTATGTTACGAACCATTTCCATGTACTTTCGTTTATTTGCCTTTTGTGTGAGAGTTATTCTATTGGCATGTGAGTTGTCCGAGCGGTCAAAGGTCATTATTATTGTTGGCACCTGAGTTGTCTGTGCGGGTATGAGATAATCATTCCCTTGGCACGTGAGTCGTCTGTGCGATTATAAGTTGTAATGTGGGCACAAGATACCAAATAATTAGGATTCATAAATTGGAACCCGTGAAATCTGACTATGAGGTGAAGTACCTAAGGAAAGTCCTTGAACAAATCTTGTGTGAAAGCAGTTGCTTTTATTGAGTTGTTACTTATTTAAATTACTTGGTCTCACTGGACTTGAACTATGTTCAGCTTACTCCACGACATTTCTACCTATTTGTTCCATATTGCTAATTGTTGTTTCTAGCATTCTATTACGAGTATTGTTTTTGTTATCTTTACTATGCTTAGATTTATATTAACATTGTTTCATGTTAGTGCACATTCATACTTGTACAAGTTGTTTAGTTTAGTAGGTATCTTCACTGTCCTACGTCACTACTCCACCGAGGTTAGTCTTGATACTTATTGGGTACCACTATGGTGTAGTGATGTTATGGTTTCTGCACATTTTTGTGCAGATCCAGGTGCTTCGGAGTTAGTTGATACCTAGTTAGTTGTTCGGGTTCTGCTACGGAGACTCAAGGTATACCTACCGTCGCGTTCGCAGGCCTCAGAGTCACCTTTTGATATTGTACTTGTACTGCCTATTTTTATTCCGGAACAGTTGTACATAGAAGATTTTTCTAGTAAACTGAGTAGAGCTTATGACTTGTACTACCGATTTTGGGTATTGTACCGCACTGGAAAGTATTGGCTTACCGTAGAAATTTCAATTTCATGCTTAATAATTGTTTATGGTTAAATTTTGTCATTTAATTCAGTAAGTATTAGGCATACCTAATATTAGTGACTACGTGTCATCACGACATCCTACAGAGGCAAAATGAGGTTGTGACATGTTATGCCATGATCCATGATCTTGAGAAGTGGCCATAAGTCCCACTAACTCACAACAACCACAATTCTTTTTGTAACTACTCTCTTATTTTTTTACTACTATTTACACACGAACTCATTCATTAACCAATGTTTTCCATGATCTCATAACTTATTACCTTACTTTCTTCCAATTTAATCTAAGAAAGAATTCTTATACCTAGAAATATGAGTGTTTCTTTCATAACATGATGTAACTAAAAAAATAACTGAATTATGCTAAATTTACCCAGATTTTGGGCTGATTTCCAGCCGAATCGGTCGAAATTAGTACATAATGATGACATTCACATTAATCATGCATTTATTAAGAAAGCTATTTAATAGCTTAAATTTTAGGGGTTATTCCATTTCTTAACCCTTTGTCTCTCTTTAAAAGGATAAACCACTCTTGAGAAACTTTTAGGGTATATTCAGAAAATCATGTGTAATTACATGGTTGTGTAATTATTAAGTAGTAATTACATAATTTGATAATTACATAGTATATTAATTACAATGACATGTTTGCATGTCAGAAAGTAATTACAATACAATTTTCACTATCATGTTTGGTTGTACAAATATAATAATTGAATAACTTTTTAACGTCACAAACATATATGCAAATTAAAAATATAAATATTATTTATTATGAGGTATTTAAAATAAATGTTTATCTGTAAAATATAATAATAATTGAATAACTTTTTAACGTCACAAACATATATGCAAATTAAAAATATAAATATTATTTATTATGAGGTATTTAAAATAAATGTTTATCTGTAAAATATAATAATAATTGAATAATTATGTAAGACACAATTTCATCTAATAATTTAATGAATGTTACTCCAGCTAGAAGAGAAGCTTAATTTGCTACACTATTATATGTCTATATGAATTTGTGTGTAGTTACATCCAATCACACATAAAATTTAATTTTTTTAGATGACTTTCCAAACATGCTTTGAGAATCATTTATGGAGCTAGGGTAGATTTGGAAACGAGTAATTAAATTTGATCGGTTAAAGCCATATTTAGTTACAAAAGTGAGCCAAAATCTCACGAGCCTCTTCAAGTTGTACCTATTACTACAACAACAACCTAGTATAATCTCATTTAGTGGGGCCTGGAGAGGGTAGTGTGTACGCAAACATTACCCCTACCCTAGGGTAGAGAGGCTATTTCCAAATAGACCCCCGATATCCTTCCCTCCAAAAACTTCTCACCTTGCTCTTGAGGAGACTCGAACTCACAACCTCCTGATTGGAAATGGAGGCTATATCTACTACTAATCAACAAAAAATCAATGATCTTACTACTTCAATTCCACAATGTAGAGAGAGTAAACTACTGCCTGTCTCACTCCTATTTGATAGCCGTAAATAGGGGTGGTAAACAGGCAGGTTGGGTCAAATACAAATAAAAAATGGGTTAACTGGCGGATAAAATAGATATTCATATTATCCATGGCTTTTTCAGTGTGATCACTTTTGTGAGAATTCCTAGTCTTACAAATTTTAGAAACCCCCAATTTGAGGCTTTAAAAATATATAAGTTAAACTCATTAGTTGTCCATTGGTTATCCATTTTCTAAGTGGATAATATGATTCTTATCCATATTTGATCCGTTTTTAAAAGGCTCATTATCCAATCCATTTTTAATAAATAATATGAGTGAATAACTATTTCTTTTAATCATTTTGCCACCACTAGCTTTTAACTAATTTCTCTTGGGAGAGCTAATTCAATGGGGAGGGCAAAAAACAGCGTCTATGGGAGGGCATGACTAAGCTCACCTTTTGCTTATATATGCGTTTAGTAAATATTTAAAATACTTATAAGTCAAGTGGTTCTAAGCTAAAATCAACCATAAGTCATGAGTTGGTCACCTCCAACTTATAGCTTTCAGTTTGCTTATAAACACTTCTAGTTTGACAAATACTTTTACTAGTTTATCCTTAATAATATTTTCGAATTCACAAAATACTTTCCCAAAATTAATTTCATGACTTTCACTTCATTCCATATTCGTTGTAAATTCTTTTCTTTACAATTTTCTTTTTAAAAAAAAATTTATAATCTTTTGAAAAAAAATTAACGACTTATTATCAGCTTTTATCCAAACACATAAATATTTATTTTAAAAATTAGTTTGAGCACTTTAAGCTATTTACCATCCGTCAATCCAAACGGGCTCAAAAAGTAATTTTGCAAGATGGATCATTATATTGGGTTAGGTTTGAGGGCTTACCTCCATCTCTCTTGGAACGTAATGGAAAGGGTTAGATTGCTTAATCTCAATCATCCAACGCTCAAGCACCTTGGTAGGCTTGACATCACGCAGGGTATTTGAAATCAGAATATATTTTTGGCTGGACGGAAGAGATTGTGCTCTGGCGGAAGATTGTGGCATCATCGTGTCAAGGAGGCCATCGATCTTTACCAAAAGATTCTCGATTATTCTTCTCCCGCGGTCAGAATCTACGAATTTTGGCCATTTATTTTTCAGTTGGTGAACCAGGAAGTTATCAATGCCGTCCTCACATCTATATACTGCAGTTATAATGCGCATGCTCAAATCTTCTCTCAATTGATGCGTCCTTCTCATTTCTGCAACTTCGATAAGGCAGGCGTTAACTAGTTCAACTAGTTCGCGGAGAAGTCGAAATTCAGTCTCTGCACCTGCGATCAAATTCGCATCTTCACGTGACAGCTTCAACAATTTCTCCAACAGAGATTTCACCAAGATATGTTCCATTTAATTATCTTTACTTGGATGGATATATGCAACAAAATGAATACGATGTATACTAACTACTTTCTTATAACCTTGACATCTTAATTTACGATAGCTCTCTGTATATATTGAGTGAGGATGATATGGAAGAGATTATATATCTCAACTCTCAAGTTGATGTGAATTAACTAATATGCACCCCCTCCGGCCGTGGAAACGTTTTTTATACACAAGCAGGTCTTTAAAGCCTATATAATAGAGTTGAGTTTTTATTATATTACTTTTTTAATATTCAAATTTTAAAGGAAAAATGGATGAGTACCTCCGGACCTATAACCGAATTCCTAATTATACACCCTATTTTTGCAAGGATTTTATTATTCCCTAAACTATTTTAAAGTAGAATTATTTGTGTGTGTGAAAGAGCGTGTGTACTTGACTCTCCCATCCCAAGGATAGTGAAAAGAAACAAAAAATGATTTTTCAAATGATTTTTTACATTTTTAGTGAGATGTATAATTTCTTACATTTTTTCTTCTTTTTTTTTTTTTTTGTTGTCTTTTCCTTCTTCCCCTCCACTTCGCCATTTCCGTCAATAACATACAACGGCGACTTTTATGGCCTTCTTCTTTAATTATTTTGGTTAGTAAGTTTCTTTCTCTTTCTCTTTCTCTCCCTCTCCCTCTCAAACACACAGTCACACTTTCATAAAACTACTCAGATCTGAAAATGTCTATCATCGAAAAATCTTTTATCATGCCGGAAAAAATGGAGTTTTTGAAATTTCAAACCGGATGAAGCCTTTTCCTACCCAGAAGACACACATATAGTCACATAATTCACTATCACTCGCCTCTTAATCATAAAAGCCACCATTTTTATGTCCCACAATTATTGGTGATAGAAACCATCCAAAACACCATCACCACAATAGCCATTTAAAGGCCTCAAGCTGGCTTAGCAGTCGAAAAAAAGAAGAAGAAGAACAGATAGGGGCCAAAAATTAGAACATTGGGTGAAACTTTATTGTTTAGTTTGGTAGTGACGAGATTAAATGAAAAAGAGAAAAGAGAGAAGAAAATAAGGGAAAGAAAGGAAAAATAATTTTTTAATAAAATATACACTTGTCTATATATGGCGTGTAGTTCACCTCCCGTTGTAGTATTTCAAGGGTGAATTTATTCTATTTTAAAATAATTTAGGGGTAATAAAACTCCCGCAAAAGTAGAATATGTAATTCGAAATTCGGCTATAGATCAGGGGTTACTTATGCATTTTTTCAATTATAAATGGAAAATAATTGTAGAAGGCAACTTGAACTAATGCTGTATTCTGGGCCGGTCCCGATCCTAAACGGGCGGGGCCAAACGGTCCCGGGCCTTGTTGGGTCGGGCTTTGGCGGTCCCAGGCCAAACGGTCACGGGCCTCACGGTCCCAATGGGTGGAACCGGCCCACGGTGGTCCTAAGCCCACATGGTCCCCGGCTAAATGGGCCGGGCCTAATGGGCTTTTTCGTTCCGGGCTAATTTTTTTAATCTAAGGTAATTTCTTATAAACTATATATGTATATACTAATATAAATTGCTTATATATAGCCNATATACTATATCAAATTTAAACACAAAATAAATTACAAAGAAATATTCAAGGGAATGTCTTATAATTTTTATTATTGCGGCATTAACAAAAAATGACAATATCTTTCTTAGTCTTCCTCCCCCCAATGGAATGAGCACAACAAGGTACTAATACCACCATTAAAAGGAAAAAAAAAACTAAGGAAGATGTGCCAAAATACAAGCTACATATTAGTCTATGTATTATTTCTAACAAATCTCATAAATCCTTCAAGGTCCGGAGAAATTTCCGTTGGTGGTGGTGGAAAAGAAGCTTGTTCATCACCACTTCCGGGCGAAGCAGCATCCTCCGCAAGTTCCGCTAGCATTTCTTCATAAGCTTCTATCTCCGGTTGTGATTCTGCAAGTCCAAAATTTCTTCTTTCTGAACGGATCCAATCTCTGAAGAGTACTGATTTCTCCAAGCTTTCCCTTATAGACGCTCTATGATCATCGATTTGAAGTCTCGCTTGACTGAAATCACTTTCCGATGCCACTGTTGAAGCTTGAATACTTAAAATATCTCGAGTCATCCTTGAAAGAACCAGATAGTGTTTTTGTTTGTCCTTCTACCATTCCAAAACATGAAGGAGCCGTCGAGATTCTCTGATTCAAGTCCCTGCGATAAATAAACTTGAAGCTCATTTAGTTGTGCACTATCACCAATATTATCACCTTGAGAACCCCTGAACCCCGTCCAAGAACTAAGGGCTTTTAGACCCGCAGTTCTTTTATGAGCCATCAAAGACCCACAAGTTTTACACTTAGCCTTAATTTGTTCTCTTAGTTGAGTAAAAAAATGCCAAACAAGAGATGTTTCGGGCCGTTTAGAAGGTTGTCTATTAAAAGTAGAGGTTACTACATGAGGGTCAGGCGAGGCATCAGTTGGGTTATTAACAGGACTAGTAGGTGTATCATCTAAATCCGGTTGCGTTTCATTTAAATCATCATTTTCCTCATCATTTTCAAAGATAGTTTCATTAGGATAAAGAACATTCATAACTTTTTCATTTAATTGTTGACCCGGTGCAACATCATGGCAAAATTGACTATCAAAAATTGAAAACAAGGGTTATCACTATCAAGAATAATAGGTGGAGGAGGACGGGTAACAGGTCTGGGTCGGGGAGCCGGGGGAAGAGTAGCAGCTTGGCGACTAGATTCACCAATTTTAGATTTTCCCTTACCCTTACCACCAAAAATATTTTTCAAAGAAAATGTCATATTAATTATAATTATACTAAATAAATCTAACAAAACTATAATATTAAAACTTAAGAGTTGGAACGAGTTTAACGAATTGACGAACAACTTCTTGAAAATTGAATATCGTTGAAGACTTGAAGACTTGAATACTTCAATTCATCAACTTTACCATTTTTTACGAAATTGCAATAATAAAGTAAGCAATTATAGAAGAAAATTAGAGAGAGATTGATGAATTTGTGAGTAAAAATAAAAGAATAGAGGGGTATTTATAGTTGAGAATTGGAAAAAAGTGCAATTATAAAAAGTTAGGGGTTAAAGCAAAGTTTGGGGGCCAAATGACTATTTTTTAAAGTCTCCAACGGACCAATTTTGAAGCCCAACGGTCAAATTTTAAAATCTAGCCGCTGGGCATTTTTTAAATTTTTTTTTTAAAAATAGCNTAGGGCCGTTGGGCCCGGTTGAACCGGCCCAGGCCCGCCTGCCGGTCCCGGGCTTAACGGTCCCGGGCTCACGGGCTATTTGTGTTGAACCGGCCCGTCACGGGCTTTTGCACCATTTAAGCCTATGCCCACTTGAACCGACCCGTTAGGCCCACGGTCCTGGGCCGGTCCCGGGCCCAGACCGGTCCACAGTACAGCCTTAGCTTGAACTCTACTATCAAGATCCTGAAATTGTATACCAAAAATAAGAAGGGTACCAACGTGTTCTTGTTTTCATCGATCGTCGATCTTGATTCGGAATAGCTTAAGACTATTTTGAATTATTGGTATTGTTATAAAAACTTATAATTAATGGTAAAATAAAAAATTTAAGTTAAATTATTTTTAACCGAAAAGCACTTTTCTTGAAGACATGCAAGATGAGAGTGTATATACAAATGCCAATGTGTTCTATATTTAGATAGAAGGATAAGTCTCATATGCCTGGCTTGTTTTACTTGATCTAATTATTGTTTGAATAATTGAGCATCTTATTCATGCCAGGACTTTGGTAAAACCTAAGGCCATAGCCATAGGCATAGAAAGGAGGGGGTATAACCTTGGGCCAAATCTTCAAAAGAGACAATCTGTAATACTTTTAAAAGGGGATCATTTTTTTGGTTATAAAGTCTTTAAAGGGGGATTTTAGCGTCCTTTTTTCAATTAACAAATGTTTGGTTTAAATAATTTAGCACAACAGTCACTATGCTTTAGTAGTTACAGCTAGTTGTAGCTACAATTTACTATATTACTTTCTATAGCTATATTTTCAGGGTTTTTGGAATGTATTCGATGTATTTAAGCTACTGTATTCATGAATACAATAGTATTTCTAGGCGTGAAACAGGGGATTACAGCTAGACAGATTTTTGTATTCGACTGTATTCACGGCGTGAAACAGGGATTATAGCTAGACAGATTATTGTATTCGATTGTATTCACGATATGTATTTGTGAATACAGTAACGTAAATAGCGCAATTCATGGTTTATTCAACTGTTTTTAAACGGAAAGTGAATCAATTAACTTAATAGACTCCTAATATAACTCAACAAACTCAATTATAACACACAAAAATTGTATTTTCAGTTATAAAAAAAATTTTCAACAGAAAAACACCCCAAAAACATAGCAATCTTCAGAGAAAATATGCTGAATATTTTTTCCCAGCTGATAAATACAACAAAAACAGAGCAATTTAAATACATATATTCATCTGAATATATAAATTATATTAATTAAAAATAGATTAGTTACCTCAAAGGTTGAGAGATTTTTTTGTTATGAGTCTTTAAAAGGGGATCTTAGCGTCCTTTTCTCAATTAACAAATGCTGGTTTAAATAATTTAGCACAACAGCCACTTGACATAGTATATTCCAAATATATAAAAGAAAGAAAATAGAACAATTATAGGTTCACAACAATTGGTTTGTCATCGTCATAATGTTGATCTATCAATAATGCACTATCTAGCAACGGTTGAGCTGCGAAATTTGCGCTGAGAAAATACGTAAATAATAATGCCAGCTAATTTCATGACTACTTTATATGATATGCTCAAGTCACAGAGCTAGACGTCATGAGATGAAGGTTATAAAATAGTGCAATTATTACTAGTATAGTACCGTGAAAGGCATATAGCCAGCTGCCTTCAAGTTTCATATAATTTAGTGGGGTTTGGACATAAGAATTATAAAATTTTGAAAAAAAAAAAGAAAAATAATTTCAAGTGAAAATGATATCTGAATATTATAGTGGTATTTGGACATGAATATAATTTTGAAATATGTTTGAATTTTTGTGAATAATCTGAAGTGAAAATTTTGAAAAATTTCGAAATTCATTTTCAAGTGAAAATCAAAAATTTCATTACAAAACATTGATTTCGAAAAAAAGTAAAAAATATTTTGATGAAA